GTTAAAATTGAGAGAGAAGATGGATGAGGTGTTGTTATGTGTCGGTAAAAGAACGGCACTCTCCATTCGAACCCAGTTTCATCTCGGTACGCTTCAGTAGGAAATCGACTCGTTACCTCTCTGAAGATGAATCAGCTGGTACGGAGTCCCATTTAACGCTACCATTTCCAGCGTCTCCGTAGGATGTCGGGGAAACGTCCGGAGTAGTGACGGTACTTGTTCGACACACGTTCACCTCCCGGGTGGACTCACATGAGTTGTGAGTCCGTCAGAGTTCCACTCAGATGTGGAAGATTGCCAAATTCCCACAAGACTCGGAAGAACTGCGGATCATGTCTGAACCTCCTGTTCTCTCCAGCACTTCTTCTGTTCGGTTTGCTCTCCGAACTGAACTGCTCTCCCACCGCACTCGACTGCTGGAACTAGGAAGTGCCGACATTTAAATAGTTCTATTTCCGGTTCATCTGGGAAGTCCTGATTGGCTGAAATAGCTAATCAGGGGTGTGTTTTTGTGACGTAAGAGGTCACAAGAAGTCAGAAAAACAGAAAAATTGTTTTGGAACGGACAGAAGATGTTTTTGAGACAGACAAGAGAAATGTTTAGGCGAGTTGGGGGAAAACAGGTGCCAGCTTCTCCATTTACGTCTGAGAGGATTTAAAAACATGACAGTTCGTTCCAACAACTTGTTTGCGCTTGCCTCCAACCTTGGACCAACTTACACTTGCTCATTTCAGACAGAAAATCAGAAAATGCATGAATTACTCCGTAACACATTCTAACTTGATTTCTACTTTGAATGAGGATTAAAAATCACTAATACTGTTTCACAGTTGATTTAAAATGAGTAGTTCACTTCAACATTTAAAAATGGTTTGAACTAAACACACTTTGATTATCAAGACATTTGTAAGATAGTAATGATAATAGAAAAAGAGAGTGTTCTTTCAATTGATCAGTGCAGGACACTTAGAAAGTCTCTGGATGAACTTAATCTTGTGTTTCTGGACTCAAATCAATGAAATACAGTTCTTGTCCCAGGAAGGCCCTCAAGGCCAGATTTGACCTGAGGCTTAGTTCACTACAACATACATATATATATACATACGTATACATATATATACATACGTATACATATATACATACGTATACATACATATATATATATATATACATACGTATACATACATATATATATATATACATACGTATACACACATATATATATATATACATACGTATACACACATACATATATACATATACATACGTATA